ATGTAAAAATGAGCAAGGCACTTAACCCTAATTGCTCCTGTATATTACTCTGGATCAGAGTGTCTGCTAAATGACTGAAATTAAAAATGTAAGTGAAATGCCTCAGATCATGTAACCGGGTACAGTTTGTTTTACTTTCAAAAGGCACTAGGAAGAGAGGAATGTTTTATTGCAAAGTCACTGTGTTTAATAGAGACAAATGTCCTGGTTTAAATTTAAATTAGTTTAGGTTTTAAAAGACCCAGACCTGACCCCTCTCCTCCCTCTCTTTGTCCCCAGGATTGTGAACTATGAGATGGGTAAAGGAGCATCCAGGGCCCGCTCCCTCTGGAGGCTGGAGCCCCTCAGGATCGGGTGAGCTGATACACACGCAGCCACACACACAAACACCGATCCCCAACCCTACCTCACCCTCCCTGATTTCTCCATCTCCCTGTCGGATACTTACTCACCTAGACACCAAGAAGCTTTCAGACACATTAAGGGTAGTGACACTTTCCATCAACCACCTGTACATGACGTATAATATGTTATAAAACTGGTTGTTTGGATCCTGGATGCTGATTGGTACAAGCAGCGTTCCAAGCCATGCTGTATTGGCCGTCACAGACACACCTATGCCTGCTAACAGTTCCATCTGAAAATGATCACTGCTCCTCCATAAGAGTATCATGTTCATGTTGCTGTCCCAATCATCTCTTGTATTTATCTCAACTCACACATTATTTCCCCTTGCTTCCAGCCTAACATTTAGTTTGGTACAGCAAGGGTTAATATAAAACTACTCACTGTCGGATCTCGCAAACAATGTTTAACGTTTAAATGTTGATCTCTGTAGTACCATACATAGAGTGAGGTGCCCAGACGAGACCAGATGACTTTCTATGAGCCCGTCGAAATCACACATCAACGTCATTATCATGGATATATCCATGTAAATGCCAATAGAAAAAAAAGCTCAAACAAACGAAAATGTAACTAGTGATTGCAGGCTCAACATTTGAAGAGACTGAGTTAGCTGAGCTAGCTAGCAAGCAACTGACTTTATCCAGCCTGCATAACAACCATTTTGTTTCGAATGGATGACCCAGTCCTATAGAACTGCCTCATGTCTGTAGCAACTTGACCAAAATAACTAACAACCACATTTTTGTCCAGACTATATATTCTAGTGAAATAATGAAATTGTATGAATTGACTTATCAAAATAACGTTTTAACGAAAATACGTCATTTATTGTTATTTCACTATGCTGGTAACAGTTTTACAAAAGCAATAAAGGCACGTGAGACAGTGCTGTATCGTGAAGACAGTCACAGGTAAATGGGTTGACTGGCCCGACGCGATCACAACCCAATTGACCTTTGACCACTGCCTCTTTCTGCCTTATTGCTGAATTAATTATGAGTGTATTTATAGTACCTTCTATCTCCACATATACAAAGACTCTGCCCCAGGCACTATAACCCCATCAGGTACTATAACCCCATCAGGTACTATAACCCCATCAGGTACTATAACCACTATAACCCCATCAGGTACTATAACCCCATCAGGTACTATAACCACTATAACCCCCATCAGGTACTATAACCACTATAAACCCCATCAGGTACTATACCACTATAACACCATCAGGTACTATAACCACTATAACCCCATCAGGTACTATAACCACTATAACCCCATCAGGTACTATAACCACTATAACCCCATCAGGTACTATAACCCCATCAGGTACTATAACCACTATAACCCCATCAGGTACTAAAACCCCATCAGGTTCTATAACCACTATAACCCCATCAGGTACTATAACCACTATAACCCCATCAGGTACTATAACCCCATCAGGCTACTAAACCACTATAACCCCATCAGGTACTAACCCATCAGGTACTATAACCACTATAACCCCATCAGGTACTATAACCCCATCAGGTACTATAACCACTATAACCCCATCAGGTACTATAACCCCATCAGGTACTATAACCACTATAACCCCATCAGGTACTATAACCCCATCAGGTACTATAACCACATATAACCCATCAGGTACTATAACCCCATCAGGTACTATAACCCCATCAGGTACTATAACCACTATAACCCCATCAGGTACTATAACCACTATAAACCCCATCAGGTACTATAACCACTATAACCCCCATCAGGTTACCATTAACCACTATAACCCCATCAGGTAACTATCTCCACTATAACCCCATCAAGGTACCATAAACCACTATAAACCCCATCAGGTACTATAACCACTATAACCCCATCAGGTACTATAACCACTATAACCCCATCAGGGTACTATAACCACTATAACCCCATCGGTACTATAACCACTATACACCCATCAGGTACTATAACCCCATCAGGTACTATAACCACTATAACCCCATCCGGTACTATAACCCCATCAGGTACTATAACCCCATCAGGTACTATAACCACTATAACCCCATCAGGTACTATAACCCCATCAGGTACTATAACCACTATAACCCCATCAGGTACTAAACCCCCATCAGGTACTATAACCACTTAAACCACCCATCAGGTACTATAACCACTATAAACCCCATCAGGTACTATAACCACTATAAACCCCCATCAGGTACTATAACCCCATCAGGTACTATAACCCCATCAGGTACTATAACCACTATAACACCATCAGGTACTATAACCACTATAACCCCATCAGGTACTATAACCACTATAACCCCATCAGGTTCTATAACCACTATAACCCATCAGGTACTATAACCACTATAACCCCATCAGGTACTATAACCACTATAACCCCATCAGGTACTATAACCACTATAACCCCATCAGGTACTATATCCACTATAACCCCATCAGGTACTATAACCACTATAACCCCATCAGGTACTATAACCACTATAACCCCATCAGGTACTATAACCACTATAACCCCATCAGGTACTATAACCCCATCAGGTACTATAACCCCATCAGGTACTATAACCACTATAACCCCATCAGGTACTATAACCACTATAACCCCATCAGGTACTATAACCACTATAACCCCATCAGGTACTATAACCCATCAGGTACATAACCCCATCAGGTACTATAACCACTATAACCCCATCAGGTACTATAACCACTATAACCCCATCAGGTACTATAACCACTATAACCCCATCAGGTACTATAACCACTATAACCCCATCAGGTACTATAACCACTATAACCCCATCAGGTACTATATCCACTATAACCCCATCAGGTACCATAACCACTATAACCCCATCAGGTACTATAACCCCATCAGGTACTATAACCACTATAACCCATCAGGTACTATAACCCACTATAACCCATCAGGTACTATAACCCCATCAGGTACTATAACCACTATAACCCCATCAGGTACTATAACCACTATAACCCCATCAGGTACTATAACCACTATAACCCCATCAGGTACTATAACCCCATCAGGTACTATAACCACTATAACCCCATCAGGTACTATAACCACTATAACCCCATCAGGTACTATAACCACTATAACCCCATCAGGTACTATAACCACTATAACCCCATCAGGTACTATAACCACTATAACCCCATCAGGTACTATATCCACTATAACCCCATCAGGTACTATAACCCCATCAGGTACTATAACCACTATAACCCCATCAGGTACTATAACCCCATCAGGTAATATAACCAATATAACCCCATCAGGTACTATAACCACTATAACCCATCAGGTACTATAACCCCATCAGGTACTATAACCACTATAACCCCATCAGGTACTATAACCACTATAACACCATCAGGTACTATAACCACTATAACCCCATCAGGTACTATAACCACTATAACCCCATCAGGTACTATAACCCCATCAGGTAATATAACCACTATAACCCCATCAGGTACTATAACCACTATAACCCCATCAGGTACTATAACCCCATCAGGTAATATAACCACTATAACCCCATCAGGTACTATAACCACTATAACCCCATCAGGTACTATAACCCCATCAGGTACTATAACCACTATAACCCCATCAGGTACTATAACCACTATAACCCCATCAGGTACTATAACCACTATAACACCATCAGGTACTATAACCACTATAACATCATCAGGTACTATAACCACTATAACCCCATCAGGTACTATAACCACTATAACCCCATCAGGTACTATAACCACTATAACACCATCAGGTACTATAACCACTATAACATCATCAGGTACTATATGAGTGCTATGATAATTCACAACAGCTCATTAATTCTTGTCATAACAGATATCATATTTTTTAGCATACATACAATGCACATCAATTATTTCATAACTTTAGAATGTAGTTTTAATGTTGAAATTAGCATAATGAGCGTTCCTCTGGACATAGTGGGAATTCTGTGTGATAGCTGATGACATCACAGAGGGTGTATATATAGCAATAGTATGGAACCGTATCTTCTCCAGTCCAGACCTGTCATGTCTCAGGCTGTCTCCTATTCCATATGTACTGCACTACTTTTGACCAGAACATAGGGAATATGGTGTCTTTTGGGACACAACCCGCCAGGGGTTGAGACTGTTTAAATGGTCTCTGGAAGTTTGTTTCACTGCCCACACACATCCTGGTCCCATCTACTGTCAGCTGTCTTATCTCTGGGCTTAAGTCACAGATTATCCAATAGCCATGCCACACAGTCTGACCTGCCGTTTGTACTAAGATATTTTGAAACAATGGATGTGCTTCATTGTAGAAGGCTGCTGAAATGCCTGAGGCAGCGGCCGTGTATCTCTTGACAGCCTCCATCATTGTCTCTAGAGTGAAATAGACATTGCTATGGCAGACACATTTTGACTCCGTTGTTCCCCTATCTGTCATTGGGAATGGGTTATGGGGACTGCTGTAGCGTTTAGATTGACGTCTGTCTGGGTTCTTCCCCTCTCTGTGATTGGTCAGTTGGAGCGGTAGCCACATTCGCTATGGGCAGGCGTTCCGTCTGCGTCACCTGTCCACCGGTCACTACCTGGCGCTGACCGAAGAGCATGGTCTGGTCCTGCAGGAGAGAGAGAAGTCCGATACCAAGTCCACCGCTTTCTGCTTCAGGGCTACCAAGGTTTGTTCCAACAAATATCAACACTTTCAAGTCTGTTAATACGTTCTTTGTCTTTCCAAGTAAACTTTTTTTTTTACATTTCCTCACAAGAAGGTGCATTGGAGTATGTTGGGGTAAAACTAGGCCTGTGGCAGCACCAGTATTGCAATATTTGTTTCCATGGCAAAAAATGAAAACAGGAAGCAGACCGAACTATTTGGTCCTTTAAAAACCTGCTGTATGTGGCCTATTGTGTGCTATAGCTTAGAAAATAAATAAATGTGACTCTGGATGACAACTTAATGATGTTTGTTTCCAACATTAGGGCTGTTTTCCTAAAGGAGTTAAATCTGCTTGATCCCGGCCCTAGGTAAAACCATGGCATTTTATAGAGAAAAAAACTGTACTGTGCCTGGAAAAGGTCAGAGCACACTAAGACACACCTATATTTTTAAAAGCACGTAAGATTTATCATTTGACTTGTAAAAGGTCATCCTTGTACCCTATACACAACAATCAGTTACATTCTAGTCCAGAACTCTGAAATGCCAAGGAACGGTCGACGTAAGTCACACAGTCCGTTAACAACCCAACCAATCAACACAACCAAGGTGTATACGGAACCAATAGAATTAGAAAACATTCTAATTATACGGCAGAATCTTCATTGCATTCTACGACCACAGTGCATGGCCAGGAAGGCTATACAGAAGCAAACAGAAGGACACTGTCTGTCATACTGTCTGTCTGTATCTCTGTCATACTGTATGTCTGTCTGTCTGTATCTCTGTCATACAGTCTGTCTGTCTGTCTGTCTGTCTGTCTGTCTGTCTGTCTGTCTGTCTGTCTGTCTGTCTGTCTGCATCTCTGTCATACTGTCTGTCAAACTGTCTGTCTGTCATACTGTCTGTCTGTCAATCATTGACTGCTCCAGATACAATGCTATTCTGCTCTATGTGGTCGTAATGATTTACTGTCACAGTGTGAGTCAGATAATATCATTATATAATAATATAATACATGGAGACATATGAAACAGCTAATAGCAGTCTCCTCCTGCAGTAGTTCTAAGACTAAGACATACTGTATCTATGATGAATGAGGTCCTTCACTGGCCATAATACACACACACACACCATAACAAGCACGCACACACACACACACACACACACACACACACACACACACACACACACACACACACACACACACACACACACACACACACACACACACACACACACACACACACACACACACACACACACACACACACACACACACACACACACACACACACACACACACAGTATCTGTTTAATTATCTCACTCCTCTTTCCTATTTCCTCTTCTCTCTCTCTCTCCCTCCCCCATCTCATCCCCATGCCCACCTCTCCTGTGTTAATGTGTTGTTGATGTCCAGAAGGATACACAGTGTACTACACGGCTTTAATCTGTTCCCCTGTACCTGCTGTAATCAGCAGCCAGCATCCATCTCTGACGAGGCGTGAATGGGTTCTGTGTGTGCGTGCGTGTGCGTGTGCGTACGTGCGTGTGCGTACGTGCGTGTCATTAGTGGTTCTGGCCCAAAAAATGCTGTTACTGTTTCGCTGTTGCGAGTAATGAATCGTCTCTCTAAGGTGCCTCTCTGATTAGTGTACAATCTTCATTTGTTGTGTGTGTGTGTGTGTGTGTGTGTGTGTGTGTGTGTGTGTGTGTGTGTGTGTGTGTGTGTGTGTGTGTGTGTTTCTGCACGTATGTCTCTCTCCCACAGGAAAAGATAGAGTCGGGTACAAAGAATCGAGACATAGAAGGCATGGGAGTAGCAGAGATCAAGTATGGGGACTCAGCCTGCTTCGTGATGCATGTGGCTACAGGGCTGTGGCTGTCCTACCAGGCGCCTGATGCTAAAGCCTCCCGTATAGGACCCCTGAAGAGAATGGTGGGTTATTATACATGTTCACTGCTCTGATGGTGTGGAAGAAGTGTGGAAAAGTCACAACCTTCACTGTACTGTATACTACTGGAGTAGGCCTCTCTCAGCAGTAGTAGGACGTTGTTCAGTGAAACCAGAGTCGTCATAATAAGATTACTTAATCAGTCTTTATGGTTTAAGCACATTGATACATACTTTATACTACCATAGTCGGGTTGGTTGTTTTGCAACAAAACCGACACGTGCACAACTATGGGGCAAAACAGACAGGGTTGGCTTAGATTGTTGATGACATGTTAACTATATTTTTTCTCCAATGTTCATTGAAAACATAAGTAAAGTTGCACAATGAGCACTTATCTCTCAAATACATCGTTACAGTAGTTGGTTAGCTAGCTAGCTAGCGAATCTTAGCCATATTTTACGATCCCCCCCCCCCCCCCCCCCCCCCCCCCCCCCAACATGGCAGTTTTTTGTCATTGTTGCTAGCTATCTGGCCATCCAGAATCACACATGGACTTCTACCCCTTTGAAGTGTGCACATCACATTCGTGATGTTGTCAGCTAACCCATCTATAAGTAGTGGGCTAATCTAGTGTGGGTATTGGATATTGGAACAGACCGTAGGTGAAAACAGAGTTACCATAATGAGACGACTTAATCAGAGGATTAAAGGCTAGTGGGATAGTTTCGCACTGTGAGTCACATTGTACCAGCTGGCATGTTGTCAAGGTGACCTGGCCCGTTAGCAGAGCAGATGTGGCGTTTGTTGTCTCTGGCCACTGGCCCAGGATGAGCTGCATAACACCCAGCGGAGAGAGGGAGATGGAGAGAAGAGCCGATGGGAGGGAAAGAGAGAGATAGAGAGAGAGAGAGAGAGAGAGAGAGAGAGAGATAAGAGCTGGTGGGAAGGGAGAGAGAGAGATAGATGGAGGAGAGAGAAGAGCTGGTGGGAAGGGAGAGAGAGAGATAGATGGAGAGAGAGAGAAGAGCTGGTGGGAAGGGAGAGAGAGAGATAGATGGAGAGAGAGAGAAGAGCTGGGGGGAAGGTAGAGAGAGAGATAGATGGAGAGAGAGAGAAGAGCTGGTGGGAGGGAGAGAGAGAGAGATATATGGAGAGAGAGAGGGAGGGCGAGAGGGATGGTGGGAAGGCTGAGAGAGAGAGATAGATGGAGAGAGGAGAAAGCGTGGTGGGAAGGGAGAGAGGAGATGGATGGAGAGAGAGAGAAGAGTGGAGGAGAGAAAAGCTGGTGGAGGAGGAGATGAGAGAGGAGAAGAGCTGGTGGGAAGGGAGAGAGAGAGATAGATGGAGAGAGAGAAGAGCCGGTGGCAGAGCTGCTAACTCTCACGCATTGGACGTGAGACACACGTCATTTGACCCTCTTCTCTGGCTCTCACGGCACACATCTTATATCTCACACATTGAAAAGTACTGCTTTTATTTTTCTAATTAGTCCATTGTATAGTCAGTCTGTTAACTTTTCAACTGTGCTCCAACTCGTCTTGAAATCGGACGCCTGAAATGTAACGTCACGAGCGGCACCTCTATCATTGTCCTGTCTTGCCACAGAACATTGCCGCACATTGAAGCGTATGATTGGTCTATTCATATAAAGGATCAAGGGGATTGGATGCATGTTTTGAAGAAACGCCCCTCAAGATTAGAGTGGAGCTGAATGGAGAGAGAACGCTCTCCGCTGATGTTTCTAAAACTTAAAAAGAGCAGCACGGTAGCACTTTTCTTTTCATGTACAATGTTAAATTAGGTTGCTGTTACTTCCGTCCTTGTTATTGCAGAATGCAGCCTTTTGACAGCATGTACTAAAGTCGAATTTATTCTACACTTGCATTAGTCCCCTCGTCTGTGATTTGCATTTAGGCTGTGACAACGAAAAGGCAGCAGACATACCTACAGTATGTTCTATATCGTGGTGCTCCTATTGGTTTACCCCGCTGCCAAGGCAGCGAACAGCCTGAGACAGAATTATGCACACACCTGCAGCCAATAGGAGTACAGGTGTCCCTAGAAGACGGGACTAGATTGGACTAGACTGAAGAAGCCAAGAAGAGACGAAGACTCAGGACGAAGATAGCACCGTCGATTTCCAGTTCTCGAAGTCGTCCGATAATGAGCACACCGGGAGGTTTTCCACCCCCAAAAGCTCTTTTCAGAGCTCAATGCCGCTGTGCCTCCATGGGGGCTGTGGACTCGCACAACTTATGTTTCGTGTGTTTGGGTTCACAGCACGCCAAGGACGGCATCAGCGATCCCCCTATTTGCGCCAGCTGCGCCCTCCTTCCATTGAAGGAGATGGAAGCAGTGCTGGGCATTCTTTAAGGAGGATATCCCTTTAGAGGACATGCTATTGGTGTTAGCCTCAGCTTCTGAGGCATCATCCGAGGGCAGCGACTCTGGAGAAGACAGGGATTATGGGGATGAGATGGATATTCCTATGGAACAATCCGTACCTCTGACCCAAAACTTCAAGACCCCCTTTCCTTTGGAGAGTGAGAGGTCTTGTACTTCCCTGGGCATTGACGACACGGGCTCAGAGAGATCAGTAGCCCTGTCCTTCGCTGCAGTCTCTCTGCGCTCAGACTTTCCTGGGCTCATTGAGAGGGCTGCTTGACGTTTAGAGATAGCGCTGCCCCCCATTCCCGCCTGACCGGATGTGGACATGATGGAGGGCGGTCCCTATTCTCGGCCAAGGAGGGCGGTGGAGCCTTTGGCTCCAGCAATGCCCTCGCTTGCAAAATACGTCGAAGGCTCATGGGAGGCGCCTCTGGCGGCGCGTTCGCCGGCCAAGGCATACCTCCCATTTACCAGAGTGGAGGGAAGGCAACAGGGCTTCACTAAGGGAATCCCCAGGCTAGAGAGCGCCCTGGCTGCGTATCTCGTGCCGGGTTCGAGTCCCTGGCCCTCTTCCAAGAAGGCCACTCTGCCGACGCAGAAAGACCGTTTCACAGCACAGCTGGTGGAAAAGTATTTTACGTTGGGGGCCCAAGCTGTAGCAGCAGCGAATAACATTGCCCTCCTATCGGCCTCTCTGTCCCGTCTAACCACGGGTAAGACTGAGCTCGGCAGTGAGGAGGTGGAAGAGGCGTCCAGGATTTCTGGTGCTATTCTTCACCTGACACAGGCGTCAGCTGTCTGTGCGGGGAGGTCCATGGCCACTTCGGTGGTCGCAGAGCGACACCTATGGCTGTCACTGACAACCATGAAAGAAGCAGACAGAGCGTCACTTCTGAACGCCCCCTTCTCTGACGATGGATTCTTCGGAGTCGCTGTCAAAGAGGCGACGGAGCGCTTCACGAAGCTCGACGAGGAGATGAAGCAGCTGGCCAGACACCTGCCACTGGCAGGGAGAGCAGGCCACGTGATTACAAAACAGTCCACCTCCACCGCCTCTAGTAGAGCAGGGTAGAGAATGGAGGATGGCACAGCGACGAGTTCAACTGCGCCCGCTATTCCCCCCCACCCTTCTGTTGAGGGTACGGAGAATAATGTTTTTGTTAATGTGTGCAATAAAGAGTTGGTTCCACCTGACTTTGTCAAAAAAGAGCCCCTTTTCCATAATACATCCGAGAGCGTTCGACCTTCCTCACTCTCTCTCTCTCTCTCTCTCTCTCTCTCTCTCTCTCTCTCTCTCTCTCTCTCTCTCTCTCACACCACTCTGAGTGCAGCTCAGCCCACCAAAGGTGCGTAACTGAGCGCACACATGAGGCGGGAGTGCTGTAGTGAGTATCTCACATAGCAGGCTGCAGTCTCAACCAGATAATGGCATGATGACGCAACCGCTATTCAGGGATGGCGCTCTGTCTCAGGCTAACGCCTCAGTCAGTGCAGTTCAGACCCGTGCTGCGTTCACGGAGGGCCGAAATTCTACGGTTCCGGGTTTAACCAACGTATCGGCACCCCCGTTTCTCTCAGAACGCGCTGATGTTCACCACTCTGAGTGTAGCTCAGCCCACCAAGGGTGCATACAGTAGCTGAGCACACACATGAGGCGAGTGTGTTAAAGGTAACAAGGCGCCACCTTGCTTTACCTCATGAAGACCTCACATTGCAGACTCCTAGGAGTACTGCAGTGAAGGCCTCACATAGTAGATTGCAGTCATAGCCAATTAATGGAATGATGACTCAATTGCTCTCTGGTTACGGCGCTCTGTCTCAGGCTAAGGCCTCAGTCAGTGCAGTTCAGACCCGTGCTGCGTTCACGGAGGGCCGTAATACTACGGTTACGAGTTTAACCAACGTATTGGCGCCCCTGTTTCTCTCAGAACGCGCTGTCCTTTCTTGGGAGGCCCGCCTTGGGCTGTTCCACCACTTCAGTGCTGGGGAACAGCGGCGGCGAGGGCCATCGAGGAATACAGGTCCTTCCTACTGAATGTACCACAGCTTCGCGCTCTTCCGCTTTCTCTACATTGCTGGGAGTGGCGACGAAGCTGTACCCTCTCACGCTGGCTAGACCAGACGTTGCAGAAGGGTTTATGCCATCCAATTCCATCGGACCCCTCCCCCATTCAGGGGGGGGGGGGGGGTGGAGACGGTGATGAAAACGCCTGAAAAAGTCGCCGCTCTCGTTGCAGAGATTATGGAACTTTTGGCGAAGGAGGCGGTCACAGTAGTTCCCTGGGAGCAAAGGAACAAAGGGCTATATTCGCCCTATTTCCTATTCGTCCTATTTCTCAACTAGAGCGTTGCCAAATGGCCCTTCCGAATGCTAACGACAAAACGTCTACTGGAATGTGTCCAGAAGGGAGACTTTTGTACGAGCATAGACCTAAAGGACGCGTACTTTCATGTGCCGGTGCAGCCGCGTCACAGAAACTTTCTGCGATTCGCCTTTCAAGGGGTGGCGTACGAGTTCACGAGGATGCCATTCGGGGACGCTCTGGCACCTCGCACGTTTTCCAAGTGTCTGGAGGCGGCATTGGAACCGTTGCATCGTCAGGGAATAAGGCTACTAGCCTACCTAGATGACCTACTGGTTCTCGCCCCGTCAGCAGAGCTGGCATTCACTCACACGACACAG